TATTATTAAAAACTGGATCATTGGATAATGCAATTCAAGACTTTTTATTGGCTTAGCCATTATGGTATATCAGCCAATATACCATAATCTACAAATATGGTAAGCGTACGCGTCAGCTTAAAATCAAAAGGGAGCTAAAAAATCCAGTTTCTTCTTACAAAATAATAATTTCTTGAGGGCGTTTTTAATAAAACAATTATTCCACTCGCGCTTGTTGGATATGAGATGATTATAGCCACCTCGGCGCTACGCGCCTCGTTGGCTATCTATCATCTCATATCCAACACGCGCTCGTAGAATAATTGTTAATTATAACTAAGAGAAAATCTATAGTTAACTAAAAGAATACGCAAGAATACAGTTAATTCTAAGCAAAATTACTCAACATTTATTGGTAAATTTGTTGAGTTGTAACAGTACTTACACGGCATGAGTAAAACAACAAGAACGAATCCAATAACTGATAAAACAGCAAATTCTGGCATGAATAAGGTGGTGAAAAGCCATCTCTGACATGCGCATGGCGTGTTCATATCGTCATCATCTCCGCTATCATCTGTGTAATTCTTTGAGGCTCTTTTTTCTTGTGATTGTCTTGAAGACGTTGTGCCATCTAACAAAGAATTTAACAAATATTAACGTTTTTGCGTGCATGCTCTTTCTCTAGGGATAATAAATTATTTATCGCCGTGGGGATGGAAGATTTTTGGGGGTTCTCATGGTTTTCAGGGAGAACGGATGGGGAGTCGTCGCTAACAGAGTATAAAGGGGCAAAATTGACTGCCAATTAACTGCCGATAGGAGGGGGCGGTTAGTCATAAAAATAGCATGGTACGACTAAAATCCTCCCCTCCCCACTCCTCTGGCGGCAACTAATAGCCAGTTCTTTAGTGGGTTCAACTGCAAAAAGACCAATTGAACTTTAATTGAGTAGTCACAACAAATTCTAAGAGAAAATGTTATTCTTAACTTTACGAATAACATTCCTTGAGACCGTCTTAAGGTCAATCGTCTTTACGTAAATTTTGAGGATCCAATTCCAGGTTTTAAATGGAAAAGTAATACGCTTTATTCAGTCCATTCCCAAAGCATCTCTGATATCAAATTCACTAACGACAGATTCTCACATCCAGAATTCAGTTCCCATTAAGGGGTGAATGCCTATCTATGACAAAAAGGACCGTCGCGTCGGCGCCACGACTGATTCGCAAGTTCAATTACCGTTTCATGTTAAAAGGAAATGTTTGATTACACATGTGTAGGGTTAGGTCAACGTAAACAAAATTATCTCAAAGACAAGCACGTCTGATTATTTGCAATTCATTGAGTAATATTAAGGCAATCATGTTGTGTCATGAAAGATTAAAAAATCGACAAAAAATTGAAACAGGTACTCACAACTCAAACAGTCCATCATGTTCAATAGGATCAAAACCAGTATTGAAATTACGTAGTTAAATGTGCAAGAAGACGAAAATTATTGTGACTCAACCGGCGACAGTATTTTCTTCTGTAATCTGATTGAGCTTTTAGGAAACAATTAAGACTCCAAGAAGGACAGATGTTACCCCTCTAAATTTCTTTAGGCCTTCCCGGTCACCTCGGACTGGTTTGTTGGTATCGAGTATCTTTAATATTTGAAAGGAATTAACTGTAGTTCACCTTAAGTTGCTTTTTGTCAAAATCAGAGTCATCTGAAGATACGTGTACACATGTGTTATTGCCGAGTTTGAAGGCAATTCTGAATTATTTTTAAATCCGTGACATATCACCATCAACACTTTTTTCACTTCTTCCCTCTCAAGAAGAGCACACATAACCTTCGATTTCAATGAGATGAACGAGGTAGATGTAAGCGGAAATTGTCAACAAGATGAATGGTTAAGAGTTGCTGTACGCCAAAAACATCATGGCAGAAATGTTAGGAAAAAGTTATAACCTGGAACTTTCTATACAGCGATACTCACATGCTAATCATTTAAAAAATCATGTACAGTAAGGATGTACCAAACACTGTATGAAAAGCTGCTTTTCTCTTTCCCTGCTTGTTTGTCCGTCCCCTACCCCCTCGAGAAGCAAAGTGCCCGCATCACAAACCACAATGACTGGCAAAAGTAGTTGGCATGCCGCCCCTTGCAGTAGGTGGTGGACAACCCTCCACTCAACATAACAAACAGAAATCTTGTAATTCATCTTTAATGAGTTACTTGAAAGTCACCCCTTTCCCCAAAACAATGATTCCTGGAATTAGTGAGCGTTTTGTTAACACCAGGCAACATTAAAATGGGGTAGGGAGGAAGATAAATAGAAGTTTTAGAAAAAGATTCAAGAAATGGTAAAAGGTGCTAAGAATTGTGCCATTTATCGTAGCTCTCGCCATTCAATTCAAGAGAGTCAACCAATTTAAGTGTGTGCGTGTGCGTGTAGTATGTGTGTTATTGCTATCTTTCGCATAATTTAACCTGGGTAACGAGATAACCTGGACTTAGATGTGGCCTGGGAATGAGGTAGGAGCATCCAGTTTCCGCCGTCGATCACATCTGCCAAACTCGGCGAAAACATTTTTTAGCTCAAGGATAGCTTAACAAACCATCACGACAACTCCCGTACGATATGCAAATATCCTTCCTCGTCTCTTGATCCCATTTCGTCTTTTCATCACTGAAAAAATTGCTTAAATTCATTCTGTTTCAATTTTAGTTTCACCAAATCACCACGATAGGAAAGGGGTATTTACCAACATGATACCATCGCTTTTCTCGTTTACTGCTTAAAATATATTCCGTAAGAACAGTAATCCATCTGTGTTAAAAACAACGAAACGCCTACGGGTATGTTTCCTACCCTTTTAAGAAAGTTGCGTCTACCTCTCGAATAATCAAGACTAGTATTTTCTCGACTTTTCCGTTCGATCTTCAAAAGAATTCCCATTTCTCAAGCTACTGCTCAAACCAACCTTATGCATTAAAATATTTATAAACAGTGATAGCAATATTCCAGTCTTCAAGCTGATTCAACTTTTGTTCTTTTAGATTTAAGTCGACCTCTGTTAATTTCTTAACTTTGTTTGAAATTTTCGCTCGAAATGCTAATTTTCGTTTAGCGCCTTAGGGGCAAATAAACTCGCGTATTTTCACACTTGTCTGACCACTCGTGCGCATTGTTGGTACATTTGCATCTGTAAAGCCTCTGTTAGCTTGCACTTGATTACATTATTTCAAAGTCGTTCAAAAGCACAGAAACACGTGTTTTTCTAACAAGGCTTGGAATATCGTCTCTTCAAAAACCAATAAATGACAGTGTTGGGGATTCTCTGCCAAACCGAGAAGAAAAGAGGGTGTATTTATTTGGAAGAGCAACTCATGCAGGAAAAGAAAAAGCAAATTAAATTAAACTGCAACGAATGATATAAATTAAAGACAAAATGAACAGACTGGTGAAAGATGCGTCTCCACGCGGTGAGATTCGATAAACTGACTGCGAAGGAGAAGTTGTTCAACTAGAGATCAAAAGGACTAAATTGGATGCAATCAACGATTTATCAATAAATTATAAATATATAGTTAGTAAAACATGAAAGCATCCTTAACCTTTTCTCCTCTGTGCTGACTTTGGTGATGTCTGCGGCGAAATTTTACTTTGTTCAGAAACCAGCAAAGCTTCCTTCTCCGGGCCGCTGTCCTTTTTATCAGTACCAGACTCAACATAGCTTCGTGTTTGCCCATAAATGCTTTGAGTAGCATGCCCCATGGACTGTGGCCTACGAGATGATTGGTTTTCCTCATATTGACCAGTTTTCCCTTCTTCTGCTAGTTCTTCTATCTCCAGCATCGATTTATAAACCGGCATCTCAAGATTAATCTTCGCCTTTGGGGTCGGCGGTTGAACTAGTTCATATTCTTGGCGGAGTTTCTCGACCGCACTCTCGAGAAGTCTTCGTTGACCGACCGGTAAATTCAAATGTGTATAGTCGTCTTTCTTTAAGGCCAGAACCGCGGGCAAGCAATCAATTTGATGCGTTTTCACCAAAATGTCAATTGTGCTTTGGTTGATAAATGAATCTTTTGCCCAAGCTTCAAACAATTCGGTACTCCCAAAAGTATCATGTCTTCGTAGTGGTGGTGGTTTACCAGTGGAAGAATCAGGCGAGGACGAATCTTCTTTCGATTTAGCAAAGAAAAACATGCCCGTGTGATTTCAATTTTTGCCAGAGTAAACGGAAATCGAACGAGTCACTACAAAACCATTTGGGCGTCGCAGACAATAGTTGATGGACTCTTTAACGAACAGATGGGAATGTCCATTAAATTCGGTGAGCCACGTCAATGCATAATTTTCAATCAAGTTTTCATGTCCTTTTCCGGCCACATGTCGTTATAAAATATTCGATAACAACATTTGTTGAACGAAAAGCGGAGATAATTTGTACAATTGACCGACAAGCAATAAGGCTTCTTACATAGGTTTAAAAGAATAGGGGAAAAAACTCCTATTTGGTCTTGTTAATGATGACAATAACCTCCTTGCCCATTGCTCAGAATCAATTAGGGCTAAGATAAAAAAAAGGAAAAGAGCGAACCGCAAAAGATATATTTTTATCGAAATGCGCAGAACTATTTTCTCGTATTTACGTTATTGGGCCAAACCCACGTAAATAATTATTTGTTTTGTACATAGAAAGATGTTGATTCTAATTGGGTATAGTTTGCGAGGGCGACTAAGATGAATATTTTCCTGCATTCCCTTTGAATAGTAACCCGGATTCAATGTCTTTCCTCACACTGAAAAAAAGAAAATTGAAAGACACGATCACGCAGAAACGTTTCGAGTATATTTACAGTACTTGTTCTCGCCCCAAAATATTTCCCTTTTTTTGAAGTTGGCAAAAATTGAAAATTAGTTTTTTTTTTTCTTTTTAAAGCGTCATATAAGACATCATGATAGCTTTAGAGTCATCTACTTCCTCATACATACGACAGAATTTCAAAACGAAACCTTGCTAGGTGCGGTATATATTTTTGTTTGGTCTATAGCCTTTTCATCCGTTTTTTTAAATCTTAAAACACAAAGCTCTTACGACAACATAGAGCGCCCTGATGAGAAACGATACGAGGCAATTTTCGGACAATGACACATAAAACAATGGAATTTTAAAGCAATCAGTTGATCAGGTTGTCAAAAGCATACTGAAATCGAAAATTTGGTCGTTCGATCTCCAGGTTTTTCCTTATTTATAAATTAAAAAGAAAAAATTACCGAACGAAAGGAGATTTATAACTATTTTCATGCTTAGAGCAACCTTGATAAATGGATTATCGTAAAATGTTTGGTTTTTAGTTAACTACATTATACCAGATGGAATCTATCGTTTCGTTTATCCAGGCATTATTTAATACTACAGTTATCACTGATTCCGAACAGGCGCATATAATTCGGCAATCCCAGAGTATTCGTGTAAGGCGAGAAGATATAAAAACTGAACCAAACCTTCGCTGTACATTCAGACAATGACCAAGCTATCAACAGCTAAAATATACATGTAGCCCAGAAGAACCTAAAAAAATTTACCTTCCGTTTACGTAAATTTGTCTTTATACTTTTTATTCCAACTAAAATGTACTTGGAGGGTAGAAGTTACTTTTTCTTCGAAAACAAAGTTATTTGGTTATATCGGAATCGATCAAACGATGACGAAATTCCTTATTGGTAACGATTAACCCCTTCTTCATGATGTTACGGAAACTCTGATTCTACGAAACATTCACAAATGAGAAATTGCCAACTTCAATAACCACTGAATGTTTAAAATATATTTATTTGTCGTAAGATCATAACGTCATACTACTTAGAGTCGTAGAATACTCGAATAAAACCCTTGTTGGCAGACGATAGGCCAGTTTGTAAATAAATGTTGTTCAAAATCCGCCTGAACCGATCGACAATATTTTACATCTTTGTTTCTCTCATCATGGGGGGCGATAAACTGAAACAAAAAATAAACTCACAAAAGGCTACTTTACATATTAAAAGAAGTTAAAACCAATGTAAATAGTTTATGGAATGAACACCGTCTATACTTTGAGAAACAAGGAACGCTTTACAGACATCATCAAGACATTGAATTGGACCCAAATTAGCACTAACGTTAAAACATGTTTATTGAAAAGCAACCTGATATTTCAACATTACAGAGTGAAAATTGAACAAAATGGACATGCATCCTGGATAAAAGGAAATTACTTGTCATTTGTTCAGTCCTTTTTAAAAGCAAACAGAGGGAAAAATTAAAATAACTATTCTTATATATGACTTTCCACCTGTTGATTCGTATGCTAATAGCTGACCATTTCTTCACGTATTTACATATCCTCTTGTTTCTAGTAAAATAAGACTTTACTGCTTTTATAATAACCTTAAGTGCTAGGAGTCTTCTATCGGCTAAAAAAACTTGTACTTTACTTGAAAAGCAATTTTCTGTTACCATTATATTTAACTAAATCCTCAATACTATTGACGACTTACGAATCAAAAAGGTATTCGAAAAAATCGCTGTTGACGGATCTTCTTCCGAACGGTTAGGATTAGGATTTAACTACCGGTTCATTAAAAGATGGGCTCACACCCCAAAGAGAAGTTTATACGAAAAGGTATGGGGCATAGGCCTCTTTTTTACATAGTTCGTTAGGATGATTAACCAAGCTCGCAAAGCCAGGTTTAGCAGTCGGTCAGACTAAAGTAATATAGAACATAACGGACGCTAATGTATTTTGAAAAAGGTTGCAGTTTGGTTCTTCAGTACTTCAAAACTGGTAAACTAGAAGTGCCTCAAATCATCAAAACAGTTAACAGTTTTTTGAATTCATATATTTCAGGATCTTTCTTTTTAAGCTGTGTTTCCCGACCAAGCGCAACGACATTGAAGTATTATTTACATTATACTATGAAAAAAAAAAAATTAAAAATCGACAGATCAAGAGCTCTCGAGTTTACCCTCTTATTTCCCAACTGGATTTAACGAACCAATTACCCTTTTTCACAGTTTTTTTCAAGTTTAGACAGGTTTGAAGACCGTCTTTCTATTTGAAAACTATTTTTCAAAAATAATTAAAACCGCGGATAACAACAAACTGTTCAGAAAAAATTAACTGAGAAGGCTGCTATGGAACTCGATTTCTAATTACAAAGATTGAAAGATCGCAAGACGTAATAACCTCAGTTCAGTTTTCTCTGACGCAATATTTTTCCTCACAAGGTTTTGAGATGAAAATTGACTCTGAAGGAAAATCACTAACAATTCTCTGCATGAGTTGAACTAAATCCGAGCGTGCTCCATTCGTTAAACACCCCTGAACAGGAAAATCGAAGGCTCACATACTAGTGTAGAAGCGACGTGGATTGAACTCGTTTTTAGTAGCTTCGTTCCCAGGGTCAGTTTTTCCTTTTCCGTCTTTTAAAGAAAACCGGACAAAAAAAAACAAAACAAAAAAAACCCTATAGTCCTTCTTTCGTTCGTTTCGGGATGGGAAGAGGGATTGCGTCCTTATGGATTCTAAACTGCGGCTCTTAATCTTAATTAATTAATCACTCTAACTTAAATAAAAAAAAAAACGCTCAACCATCCATAAAAAACTTTTACAATGGAGAAAGTCGTAATCAGCGATTTGAGAGAAAACATAAGATTTCTTCCTAAGGAGATAAATCTGAGAAAAAACACGATCAGTATCACGACGCTAATCGATGTTGTCAGCTTGTACCTGCATCCGGCGCGCCCGCTTCCACTTCTCCTTCGGGTTGAGTTATGTCTGAAGCCTCCGTGACGGTTCTGAGCGATAAAACCCAATTGTTGCAAACAGCAATCAGTATCAACAGTAGCAAATTAATATTGGTACACAGAGTATTTTCTTTAACTGAAGAAGCGATGGGTCCAGTTTTGAGTAGCTTGAAACGTTTAGAAGTTCGATTTAATCTGAAAAGCGTTTATTTTCCAGTTTATATGAACAACAAAGATATGGTACTTACAGAGTGAGATCCTCTCCAGATGGTAGTTCAAGAGCAGCCACGTGGACCACACATTTAGGATCCAAGGGAGGTGGGCATTCCTGGCATAAACATGGGGACAAAGAAAATCAATAATGTCGATCACTTGATGGTGGAATGTCATGGATATATCTGAGTATTAAGGCTGAAAGTTTCTAAAGAAACTGTGGTACTGCGTCGGTGGGGGTAACAAGGTAATTGGTTATATCAACTAAGTTGAAATGGTAAATTGGCCACCGTAACGAATAAAAAAGCTGACGTTTCGAGCGTTAGCCCTTCGTCAGAGCGAATGGAGGAATTGTGGGTTGTATGTGGTTTTATATGCCGAAAGCGGAGCTACGCCATTGGTAGGAACATGGCAACGAGAAAAACACGCATAAATTAGTGAAATGAAAAGCGTTCGTTGATACCTGTGGGTTACGGTGGCCAATTTATTATTTCAACTTAGTTGATATAACCAATTACATACGTGTATTGCTCTGCTCTGCGGAGCCGCGCGCAAGCGGATACCATCTTCAAGAAAATATGGTAGCTCTTCCAGACGACAAAATCTTGATGACACGTGAAAACTGTATGTCCATGCGTAACTCAAATAACTTTTGAATTTGATACATTAAAGGCAATGGATGGATGGCTGAAGTAATCTAGATTTATTGGGTGGTATAGGCGCAGCAAATTAAGACCTCCGAACTTTTTACATTTTTAAAACTTTCGAAAGATTCAAAAAGGTTATGTCCTCTGAATATTATTTTTTAATGTTGATACAATGTACTTAAACTGTTGAGTAAATTTGACGAATCACCCGAACAAGGCATAACTTCAGTGATCAGACGTGAAAAGACCACAGCTGAGAATAAATTCCAGAGTTCTGCTATTAGGCTCCGCTGAAGTTAAGCATTACATTTCCCCCTGCATGGCAAAACTACTAAGTCATCTATGGAAAGTCTCTCGAATGGAATTCTGTTTTTCGAGACGTCCTTATGAAGACTTGGTGATTCGAGTTAAACTTTTAAAGCGATATGATGACAGACAGTGTGAAGATTTCTTCTTTCGATGGAAACGCCTTCAGAAAAGCAGGAAAAGATTTCTTCTTTCGATGGAAACGCCTTCAGAAAAGCAGGAAAACAGTGTATCTTAAGCGAGAATTTACATGGAAAGCGTCTGAAAAAACGTTTTAACCTAAATTTAAAACTGACTTCTGGAATCGACATGTCCTTGGCGAAGCACTAATTGTCCCTCTTTGTCCCCTTGCGTTCTCTTATACAAACAGATTGTTTAGATTAACACTGTATGAAGGCTAAACAAAATACATACTGTACTCCACAAGTCTTTCATACCTCCGGCAATTTTTGGTGATATATCAAGTTATTTTCTCTGTCACTCTTTGCTTTCTTTTCATTTAACACCTTTTTAACCCTAGAAGAAAAGACAAAATTAATTTGATTAAGACATTTCTTACATCCATTTTGAAATCACAGGTGACCTTTGCAGTCTGATTGGCTCTCATCGGTGCAATTTATTTACGAATATTAGCACCATGTTTTAGCTCCAAGTCACATCTTTTTCCCAGTTTATGAGAAGCCTCCATTAAACCACAATAACCAATCATATTTCAAGGTTTGTTGAGAGCAACCAATCAATTTAGAGGAAAATGAAAGGCAACTTTTTACAAACCAGCTCAGCACTGGGTCAATAAAGTATTTGTACAGAGTCAAAAAATCCTCTATTTAGGCCGCTGAATAATGCAATTTCAAAATGGATGCAATAAAGTGGTAATTAAACTTCTTTTCGTGAAATTTTGATCCAAAATCATACTTGTGATTTCAAATAAAATTACAAGTAGATGTAACCCCCTCTTCATGAATGCAAAAAACAAACAAAGAAAGAAATTCTTTGAAGTACTTTACTTTTCAAATTGTGCTGATTCAGCCAAGTGAAGTTTGGTTTTTGGTTTAATTTTATCATATTCCTACAAGGAAACAAGAAACAAACACATCATTCTTCAAATGCCAAAAACAAGGAACTGATCTCATCACCATGAATATTGATGAATCAAAGTTAAAGGGTATGGGCAAAATGGTAAAGAACCTAACTGGTAAATAAACATTATTTTCAACTCCTAAAAAGTATAGGGATCACCACAGACTTGTAACTCTCATTCAAGAGGCTCTTCAAATTCTTTAACTATTCATTTTGTAGTCTCTTGGATTATCCCTTTCACTTCCAAGATCACGTCTATATTAAGTAATTCTTCTAAATTCTAATTGTCTGCTGAATTCAAAGAATTTGGTTTTGGATCAACTAGCAATCCATCAATTGATATTTTTCTTTATTCTCATTTCTTTTCTTCTCAAGATTCCTTATCATTTTCACATGACTACTCAAATTATTCTGTGCCAGTTTCCAGGTGATTATGGAACTGTTTTACATTAACCACTCCATTCTCCTTAATATCTTTTCAGAATTTACATAGAAGGCACTTAAATAAAGATGTAATTAATAAAAATAATCCATATGGATTGGGTAGATGTTACACTTACTTTAGATAGATGAGTTGCTTGGCTTAGGTGCTTGAATCCCTCACCTAACACCACAATAGAGTCACCACACCTGAAAAGCAATTAGGAGGAGCAAAAATCACTGTCATGTAAAACAATCAAGATACAGTGTTAGGGATTCAGTAAATGTACCAGTAATATCAGAAAAGATGGTAACTCATAGGCACTGCAATCCTTAGATAAAAAAGGCCACATATTTATTTGGCATGTAGACTTTGGGTATTCCACATGGTTTCCAATCTAAGACCTTTGGATATGATGCTCTGGCCTGTTATAAGGCTTTGATAATCAAGAGGTAGCCTGTAACTGAATGGTACAGCAGCATATCCTGCAATCTGAATCTCTATAGTTTGAAGCCCCATGGGACTCAGATTCTTCTCTGTCTCAAATGCATGACAGATAAATAACAATTATCTCTTTTGAACGAATTTTGTCACTTTGGGCATCCTACAATGTAAGTGAGCTACAACACTTACTTTTCTTCAGTCTCCAACAGGTGAACACCTTGATAGCACCTTGCTAATGCCATGTATGTCTCACCTGTAAGAATGGTGATGTACAATGTTTATATGTCACCATAAAGTTGAGAAACCAGGACATAAATATTCTTGTCAGAGCACTGCCTCATTCCATACTGACAACTGCACATTCATAAGAACCATCATTATGTGAAAAAATGGATTCCTACAAATAAGGGCGAAGGGAAAATGGCCCTTCCACCCAACTCTGGTCCATCGATCCTTGTGATACAATACTGAAGTTAAGTAATCATACCACCAAACCATTATGTAAATTGTTTAAAATGTAAAATATCTTAAACAAACCCAGTCATGGTTTAGTACCTTGAAACCTTAAGTATGTTGACCATTTTTGTCCTTCATGATGTGAAGCCTAGTGAAGAAATGTGGTAAGAGTAGAATTCATCTGCTTTTACTTCCTACATCTAATTTTTGCAAATTATACAGTGTAGCAGTACTTCTCTAGATTTGTTTTGCATAAATGAAGAGTGGATAAGGAACTCATCCAGGCTAATCTTTGTCCTGGTTGCATTAGCTGTCTTAAAATAACTTAACCATCTCAAACTTCATAACAGTGAGAACAGTGCTAGAATCTTAAGACTGCAGGGAAAACTTTAGAACCAAATGGTTTAATTTCTTTCTTGTAATACTGGGTTTCCTTTAAACACTTAAGTGCGGTTAGAAAACGTGGTCCATGTTACGTTACTACAATTGTACCTAGCATTTAATTCTTTGGTGAAACAGAGTATATCCTAATATTTACATGTATAATTATGCTCTTGGGTGCACAGAATTAATGCTGTTTGCCACAGAGATGGCTGACAATAATTCAGTCACAAAATCAAGTCAGTGCTACTAAGCATCAGGGTTCAAAATCCCACCACTCAGTCAGGGTAACAAGTTGAGGTAAAATTGTACTAAGTAAATGTATAATCATTATTTTACAGGTTTTGTTGGTCAGAACAACTATGCTCAAGACAGTGGTGGATCCAGAGCTTGAGCTAAGTGGGGAAAGGGGGCTAGTTTCTTTGTATATGTACACCTGCTAGCTTTTCTTCCTTCTGTGATTAGTTTTTTTAACTCAAATAAGGGGGGAAGCCTGACCCCATGGCCCTTCCCCTAGGTCCACCACGGCAAGAGATGAAAATCTAGCATTTCAATTCAACTGTGAACTCTGCATTGTTACCAGTTAACTACAGTAAATATGTATGTCTTAGTTATTAGTCTTTCCTTTCAATTGAAATTTGAGTGGAAGAAAATTGGAAACTCACATCAATTTCTCCAGCTGCAGCAATATACTTCTGTGATACATCATGACAGAGTTCACTGATGAGGGAGGCCTTGTGGTTTTTACTGACAGCTCTTCTGATGGTGACACTCTTTTTAAAACATCAATAAAGGAAAGCTTATAGTTTTCTTCAAGCAAAGATTTGATCTCATCACTAGTAGATATGAACAAGCTTAGAGAGCCGTTACTTAATGATCACATAAAGCTACTTTCATCTAGTTGTACCTGTCCACTAAATCAAATAATTTTCTTCAAGTATCATGAACCAATACCTCTAGCAGATCTGCTGTCATGTTTTCAAGATCAATCTTAAAAAGTTAGCCATTCAAAATCCAAATATGTCATTAAAACTACCAATAAACTGGTGTGATTTCTTTGCAACTATCAACCTGAGCTTTTGATGATATAAAAGTTAGCCCCCCCGTTATTTCCTTGGGCCTAAATTTTCTTGTTGACTATAATGTGCCCAGTTGTTCAAAGCTTTGTTAAGCTAACCCAGGATTAGTGCAGAATTTTATTTCAGATCTGAAAGCTATAAAAGGAAATCCAGCCTAATTTTTTTTTTTGTCTACAATGTAGTGATTGGATGCTCTAAAGAAAGTAGAGAAAATTGTCCCAAACAGGCTTTTGAACAGAGGAATTAGAGAAACGCGGATGAAAATTTAACCCCAGGTTAACACTAATCGGCTGTTTAACAACTGGGCCATGGTGTTTAAAATACCTCTGTCAACTCCCATAACTGACCAGGAAAGAAATTCTCCTTACAATAACAATGCTAATGTATTGATATGGTAGAAAGCACACAAGTGAAGAAAATAAGCCAGAAAAATATCAATAGGGGGATTATTAGTTGATCAAATACCACATCCTCAGAACTAATCCTAAAAGTAATTAGTAATCAAAGTTTAATGTCTTTATGTGGGGCATGGTTACCCATATTGCCTGAGCCAGAGGCTCATGTATGAAATGCAAGACAACAACCCACCCATCCCACCCAAGGGGAGGACATCCATCAAACAGTAATCTCGTGCATAGGAAATTAACGTCTCCTACCCCTAACCCTGTAGGAGACGGGACCTCCATTTATTTGTCCCTATCCGAGAAGACTAGAATATCTAACCATTTTCTTGATGTTATAGAAAGGCAGCATATTCTTCTCAATTATTTTAAGACCTTGAGTGTTGGTCCGGCCGGGGCTCGAACCCTCAACCTCCCGCACATCAGTCCAGCACTCTATCCATTGAACTAACCGTTAAGCTTGAACGGGAGGTGGTATAAGAATTGTATAGAAGGCAGTGGGGAGAATTTCTAATGAGATCTTGGGAGTGAAAGGGTTAATGGCATCGCAACACAAATTAACCTACCTTAACAAAAAGCTTTTAAAAGTAGCCTTGACCAACATTTAACACTTGTGAATAATTCTAACTGTTTACAAATATTTTCCAACACTGTTATAATTATGTTCTTTGGGGTATGGGGTTTATGTTTTACCAACCTTGTTCCCAGGGTCTCTCATCTTCCCGCTTCCTGCCTTGCCCCAGGGGGGGTGGGAAGATAAGAGACCTTGAGAGCGAGGTTGTAGATTTACCTGTCCCTCAGCAAGTGACTGAAGATATAATGCACTCAGTATTGGAACTATAGGGTAAAAAAATTAACATCAGTTTTGTAAGTACATGGTGTTAATGAGTGAAAAAATCACGGCAAAAAAGTGGTTTCAAACTGACCAGTAAGATCTTTGCTTCCTTGGATTAGACTTGCCCAAGATTTTGCAGTCTCAAAGATACTTGCTGCCATCTTTAGGGAATTCAGGCTTTGCTGAGATCAAATATAGGATGTAGTGTGAACACAATAGTAGCCATTGCACATGAAACTGTCACATGAAAAAGTGGACAAGATTTTTCTTACTTTCATTTTCTCTTCAGCCCCCTCTTCATTTATAATGCTCTCATTGACCTGTATAAGGTAAATTGGACAGAAAAATAAAGTTCGCTGTTGTTTGAATACCAAATTTCAAGCTCTTTGACATCAAGAAGTTTTCAAAAAGAGTCTTACTCACAAGATGAGCATGCTCTAAGTGCCATATTCCAGCTGCTAACATCACGGATGCCATATCTTCATCTACATTACCGGATACGGTTTTTTCATCATCATCCATAATGTTAGACCATTTAAATCTGTATGAGTAAGTTAAATTATTTAGCCCTTTGAAAAATGTAATGGCTTATTACCTTAGAACTCCCCTTTAGCTGCTACAGATTTCGCTGTAAATTAGTTATGAGAATTTGGTGTTAGATAAAGAGAAACTTCCACTTGATAAGTTTGAGTATTCTCATCACCTGTCTGCTTGATAATATATGAATACTATAGGGAGAAGTTACATATTGATCACATCTGAGAGTAAAACGCTGATAGTTTCTAAAGAAACTGTTTGGGGCTGCGTTGGTGGGGGTAACGAAATAGTTTGAATATATCAACAAAGTTGAAATGGTAAATTGGCCACCTGTATGATTATAAAAGCTGACGTTTCGAGCGTTAGCCCTTTGTCGGGGCCAATTTTGTAATGGTGGCCAATTTACCATTTCAACTTTGTTGATATATTCAAACTATCTCATTACCCCCACCGACGCAGCCCCAATTTACAGTTTCTTTAGAAACTGTCAGCCTTTATTCATTCAGCTTTTATAATCGTAACGGTGGCCAATTTATCATATCAACAAAGTTGAAATGGTAAATTGGCCACCGTTACGAAATTGGCCATTC